TTTAAATGCCCTCAGCCTTATTAAGAATCCTACATAGGGCCTTAGATGTCCCTTCCTAATATGGCAGTACTATTTTACTTATAATTAGTATTGATAATAGCAACAATCAATTATGCTTAGAACCTAATCCAGTCAACAATGCTGTTTCACTGTGTCCTACATTTAATCAACATAGTCCCACACCGTCCAAGTTTTTGTATTAATCATCTCAGCAGGTATTTAAAAAAGATAATTAAACTGACTCTTGTTACTGCGTTTAAGGTTATGCAGCTATTTTAATATCTCAGTTATGTTGAAGCGAATGATATTCAACTCCATCTGTCTTTTTTGGTGAGATGGAGGTAGGGTAGGGGGTTGGTGTTGTTGTCGTTCATTCACTCATTCAATCAATCAATAATTCATGTTGTGTTGGTCAACTGTAGTGTTAACTATTCGAGAAAAAAGGTATCTACTTCATTCTTGTTTTATTTGCTTCCTTTAAAAAAACAATAAACGAATATTCATCAATTAGAGATAATGAATACCACACAAGCAACATACTTGCACACACACACACACACACTAATTTGTTCACTGTCCTCTTTTTTCTGATTTTTTTGACTCTGTTCTGACCTTAAGTTCGTTTTTCATTGCTATAATTTGTGTTTTAGTTCTGTTTTGAAAGTCAGCTTTAATTCGTGAATTTTTAACTTGGTAAATTTTTTAAACTTGAGTGATGAATAAAAGTGGGCTCGGGAAAATTAAACAGCTGATTTATTTGGGGTTTGAAATGATGCATTACACACCGAAGGATGAGGATAAAAGTAATCAAAGGGTGTTTTTGCGCATATCATATCAAAACCCATCACAGATGATATTCCAGCTGTATGAAAAAAGATCCATAAAACACCTCCAAAACATCCAAATGTGTAACATCTGGTGTGATTACAGCAATTTCTCTTTAAGCATGCGTTGCACGGAATCTCATAAAACCAAGCTACCTGAGGAAATTCAAGTGACAACTGATCACTACCCCTCACCACATGTTACAGCCATTCAAGGAGGCGGAATTGATAAAAAGGAAAATACATTTGTTTCTGGGTGATAACTTACATGCTAACCCAACACTCATCCTGCGATTTAGTAACTGAGTGAAATTAGTTGCGCTACACTAAATGAAAATGAATAGCGACCATGGCGTGTGGACATCACAAACGGCCTTGAACGCATACCATTCGTTGTATTACTGAACCTGCCCTTATTACGGAGCCAGTATGGGCGCTGTCCACGAAATGATGTGCAAATTTCATCCTGACCTCATTTATAAGTACTGTTTGGACATTGGGTTGGTAGCACATTAGGGTTGTGGTTAAGGTTAGGCTAAGGATTATGGTTAAGGTAAGGTTTAGGGTTAGAGTGTTTCATTATTATTATGTGCATACTTCTTTTAAATAAATAATTGGGAGGGGTGTTTCGTTGTTTATATATATATATATATATATATATATATATATGACCGTTTTCATAACTGTGAAACTTGGAAACTGATATCCTTCATTGTAATTGGGAAGTATTTTTGAGTTACGTCGGGGGTAAAATACCATCTTTAATGTGCTTCATTGTTTCTATGTTAATTTATCTTGTGTATAAACGGCTTTTTGATGTAGAATGTACGGCAGATTCTGCAATCCAACGAATGGTATGCGTTCAAGATTATTGGTGCATTCGCACTCCATAGTTGATATTCTTTATGTTTGTCACTAGTTGATAATAAAATGTTATGTATAGTTTTGAGATTGTGTCACTTTTGCCGTTCAATTTCACATCGGCAACGTTTATAAGGACTTTCAGTTGAATTGAATAAATTCCTTTTGTGAAACTGTGGGATTCATTGATCTAGACACTAGACTTTCAACCAGTAGTAGTAATAGTAGTAGTGGGTCGTGGATTTGGACCTCGTGAATTTTCGAAACGTATTCACATATCCGTTAATTCATTGGCTAAATTTCCAGCTATTGATATAATTCATTTTCCATTCACACATGAATAAGACTTAATCTTAGAAACTGTCTGTTATAATGTATGCAGCATGTGTTGCTACGCCTTCATCGATGAGTCATAGTAGTGGATTTAGGATTATGTTGGCAAGAATATTGGAGTAGTCAAAATAAAATATGGTGTCAATTCATAAACTCACTGACTGTTAGTTAATCTGATCTGCCCAATTATGTGTAGTTAACTTGTCTGAGGTAGTCAGGAGTGCCAAGAGTCAGTTGTTGTTGTTCTGGTACCCGAAAATGTTTTATTTTCCAGGTGTGTAAGCCGTTCAATTATTGCATAAGGGTTGAAGTATATAGATTCGGATTCGAACCTGAGATCTACTCGCCAAAAACCGAGTGTATAAGCCAGTAAGCACTATCTCCACCCGTATTTACTAGCTCTGTTGTAAAGAATCAGTATACTACATGCCTATAAACATACATAATCCAACTTATTTACTGGATAACGAATATCATGATCTCTGCAACAGATCACGAAAAGCTGACATGTGTCTCTACCTATTTCTTCAGGAAATAATTTTTGTCGAGCGAAACCAATCCACATACATACATCATACATTTTCATATGAAGGAGTAGTTTATCAAAACCGAATAGCTCTATGATGAATGTAATTTATCTCAAGATAACACTGATGAAACAAAGCTTAGACAAAGACATACCATACACTTAGTTTTTGTATTCTCATCACACTCTTATCTTGTCACAAAAATATCCAGATTAATCTGTCAATAGTTTCTAATTACACACATTTTTTTCAAACTATTTATGCTTATATCTGTTCATATAACATTTTTTTAAATATTAATCTATGTATTATGTAATCTATTAATTCAGATGATTAATAGTAGTCAGATTAGTATTATTTAGTATTTGGAAACTCACTCACTCACAGATTCAGTCATGCCTCGATTACTTGTGATATTAAGGGCCTGTATTATCGTTGTACGCGTGTTCTTTTTTGTTTTAGTCAATATAGTAGACATTCTAGAGTGTTCATAGGTATATATGAAAAGCCAAAGTAGTTCAGATTTCTAGGGTGATTTTGTGCAAAATCTGGTACTATACATAAATTCCCTTGTAGTGCAGCAGTAAGCTATGAATCATGTGCAATGGGAAACTAGTAGGACAATAGATACGGATACAGAGGGCTAGTTTCGCATATGCCAGTTTACGCCGTCTTTGGCGTAGACGTGATATCCGACTATCGACCAAAGGGCGGGTGTACTGCTCATCAGTCCACTCCGTCCTCCTTTATGACTGTGAGACCTGGCCATTGAGAGTGGAAGACATGAAAAGATTAGCTGTCTTTGATATTAGGTGTCTGCGTTTTATCTCCCGTGTGAAGTGGTATAATAAAGTGAGGAATATTGAGGTTAGGCGTCGAGTGCTAGATAATGAGGGAGGGGAAATCAATTGACGAGGCTGTGAAATTACATCGACTGAGATGGTTAGGACATGAGTTACGCAAGCATGCCTAGTCATCGCCTTCCTCGACTGACAGACAATGTTAGCTGATATAGGGTCAGGCTGCAAAAGAGCTAAAGGCGGTCAAACCAAAACATGGCCTCATCAGTCAATGAAATCTACAACGGTTAGTCTAGGCCACGTAGGAAGGTGTAGACTCCCTGACTAGTTGGGGTCCTTGGGACGGTAAAAACCAATGGTTGAAAACAATTGGTGATATGGCTGAAATTTGTTCTCAATGGCTGTCGCAGATACATCCACTCCTTGTGACTTATGATTTCCAATGAAACTATATTGTTCTTCGTTACTAATATTCCTTTGTCTCTCACTTCTGTTTACTGTCTATATTATGCATTTCTTCTACTTTCTTCTGTTGCTTTGTGTGCTACATGGAGGGAGTGTGGCGACTTGAACTGGCGCACATATGTGCAAAGTTCTATGTCGAAAACAGACAGACAGACAGGACAATAGATGCTTTCACGGAATTCAAGACTGGACTGGTTGACTGCACATTTTTGTTAGCTGAATACCATATTGTCAGTATAGTTCCCTCGGGTTCCGAGCGGAACATAGGACTTCAGTAGCATATTGCCCATCCTCTTTCTCCCTACAGTTTTCCAAATGACCCAGTCCATTACAATCAGGAAGTATCATCAGTGGTAGTAGACAGTTTTTTTGAACACTCCTACCCTCATTTTAAAGACTTCATCGAGGTTTTCGTTGAAAATCACTTGGAATGTGGTATCATCGTATAACCGTTGAAGTAGGTTTATGAAGGCTTTGATTAATATGACGATATCTTAAATATGATTCTTTGATAATCCTTTTTCGTTCTTCAAAGTGTCAAAGGTTTGAATCAGCTGATTGTAGGAAATGTTGGCTTCCTCTATTACTTTTTAATAAATCTATTATTGTTATTGATTATTCATTTTGCTTGGCACAACAATGCTGCAGTTTCAGTTGCCATACTCCATGTAGTATACAGAATTTAGGAAGAAGAGAAAGACGAGATTCAAGACAACTGTGATGAGCAGAAATGTAATGTACAGGAGAACAAATAGTAACAGAAGGGAAAATCTTCAGAATTTAATGGATATTAGGATTACGAAGCGTGAATTTGAACGATTTTCAGCCATATCACTAAGGCATCTAACCAGACAGTCTACACCTCCCTGTGTGACTGTCTGAAACCAGCAGTCAAAGACTTCATATGGATACTGATGTTAGGTTTTAATTTGACCATTGCTAATTCGTTTCTGACCTAATCTTATGTCAGCTAACATTGCTCATCGAGGAAGACAATGTCTCGGTATACGCAACGTGTCCTTGTCACCTCCATCGATGTAGCTTGACAACTTCATTTCACTTGGTTGGTGGTCATCAAACCGCCTTTCATGTGTTAACGAATGTGTATCATGACTTTTTCACTTATGTGCATTACGTTTTATCTTTTTTTGTCTACTTGTTTCTTTTTTATTTCTCTTCTTCTCCTTCAGGTTTATTCAGAATATCGATCGAAACGTGAAACATATCTAACTCAGCTGGAGAATTTAATTATTCAACTACCTGTATCCAATTATACACTGTTAAAGCATTTATGCCAATTCCTTTATCGTGTCTCCATATATCAAGCTGAGAATAAAATGTCAGTTGAATCATTAGGTATTGTATTTGGACCGAATGTATTTCGATTTACACCAGAAAATATAGTGAGTGCTTTCCCCATTGTGTATTTATAAAAACTTATGTATTTTATTAAATACTTATGCACATCTCATAATCTTCAATGTGTGTGTGTGTGGGTTCACTCTGATCTGTTGTTTTGACATATGCTGAAATCTAAATACGAACTATAAGTGACAGACATGATGATATTAAGAAAATGAAGAAATTTATACAGAAGTGCATTAGCTTAAAACTGCCAACTCTCTCTGCAACAGCCCGTAAAACCTCACTAAGTCAAGGATGGCTGAGGAAAAGAAATTTCAAATTCATAGAGTGTGTCTGAAGGCGAAATCGATCTGTGTTATTTCTAGGAGTTTCTGATAATCAGTGTATATAATTTCAAAAGGAAAACAGACACTTCCAGCTTCCTTGTCGAGTTATTTCTATTATAATTCACTGTGTTTAGACTTTAAAATAATACTTTCAAAATGTTGATTTCCAGGGATTTGGTCACCAGGTGACTTCACAGTTAGACAACCACTGAAAACTAGGGAACACTGGACAACTGTTTCGTATTGGTTCAGGACTCCTGAGCAGTACGTGACTATGACCTCATAAAGGGTCGAACCCCTGGAGCCTTAATTTAACCTAAGGCGAGCTCGTTGACCATTCGTGCGGCTGTGGCGGATTACGATGGCTCGTCTACTCCAACTTCTGGGTTCGATTCCCTGGGTGCATAATACTGAAAAGTCCCAACTAAAGACGAAAGACCTGTCAAGTACTCTGTGGTTTACAACGACTTTCTAACTGAAGTCAGTTTGTGATCAAACTTGATATGTATTCGTCAGTAGTCCTCGTTAATGGAAAAAACCAAACAATTAGTTCAGTGAAGAGGCTCTCATCATCCATAAAGTCACACTAATGGATACGTTTTTTTCCACAAAAGACATTAGTTGTCATAATCACAGTTGCAGATATAATCAATACGTAAGAGTGTTGGTGGAATAAGGCTGTTTGAGTTACGTTACAATTAAATTATTTATATCTCATTGTAAAAATACTGACTAGAGAGATAGAGAGAGGTGTACATGTTTTGTTTATGCACCGCCAAGGAGTGGTGTTCATTCCTATTGTTTGTTTGTTTTCATAAAGATCATAGTGTTACTACTACTGTGTTGTGATTGAATACTTTTTAAATATTCTCAATTTGTATTATGAAGTAACCGGTTGTTATGATGTGTGTGTACACTGGTCATCTGATTCAAACAAATGTAAGGTATTTTTGCAGTACTCATGGAGAATAACTTAACTCGTCTTCATTTTTTTGAATTTATTATCGTTATCAGTTATTTATTTGAAATTCCCGTAGGCATCTGATGATAAATTCGCTTCTATTATGCATACTCCGTACGGTTAACATGTTTTTTTCTATAGTTTGGTTTGTAAGGGTTAGTTATGTTTTTACGAGTTGATCACGGATTGATATCAGTTAGAGAACCATTGAAAACCAGCACTGGAGTACTGGACAGCTGCTCTTTTATCCTAGTTTGGGAATCATCGTCAGTACACACCCACTCGGATTTGAACCCAGGACCTTCCGGTTACAAGGCAAGCTCGTATACCATTCAGCCACTGGGATCGACCCGATTCAATGGCTTATGAATTCTAACTTCTACCAATTCGTGATTTAGCGCGACCCCAACCATTGTCGTTGGTGGGACATCCATCCACACACGTGACATGTAATTGGACCTCACTGGTCACGACTTCTCACTAAAACTCCAAGAAACTCCATCCTGTAGCAAGTCACTAGCGAGCATCACATTAATTTTCTATAATTTCGTTTGTAAGGGTTAGTTATGTTTTTACGAGTTGATCACGGATTGACGTCAGTTAGAGAAGCATTGAAAACCCACCAGGGAGTACTGGACAGTTGCTGTTTCATCCTAGTTTGGGAATCATTGGCAGTACGCACCCACTGGTTGTGTTAATTTCTTGATGGTGATGATGACTAGCCAACAGAATCGAGAACATGCGTCAACAGAGACTGCGCATCTCAGTCCAATAAGAATAATAATCAACCGGAGATTTGACTAATAATGATAATAATTTAATGAATGCATAAAACTGTTTGCCACTGATTGATTGGGTCGATTAGTTTCGTACCACTCATATCATCCTATAATACTTGCTCTTTGTTCAGATCGAAGTGTTATTGCTACCGGAAGGTTGCTTCACTCGTTTGAAGCTGAACTTATCAGTGGTGTCCAAACGACCCGGTTTCTGACTAGCTGCTTAGGCGAACTGGTAACACTGAAAAGATAGAAGACGAAAACACTTAGTAAAGAAATGTTTATTTGGAAACTGCTATCTCTATATAGCCAAATTATGTATACCTTATCTTCGACGCACCATTTATTTGCCCAGATCCTCGTGTTGTGCTACTTCTGGCCTTCATATTGTGTTTCTTCTTTCACGTCTGCCAAGTGTCCCCGCAACGCCATATATCATTTGCTTTCTCTGACATCAAGTCTATCTCCCTGCTATTTGGTGTTTTTTTTTCTATGCCGATGAACATCTCTTGGCATACTACTGATAAATCTTATCAGTAGCACACACCACAACATCATAGATCAAATTCTCAATTTACACACTTCGATTAGGTGAAATTTCACCTCATTTTCCTTTGGAAACCGAAATAGTTCAATTAAGAATCTATTGTCTACTTGCGACCATAAATGGTAGTCACGACGAAAGCAAGCATGAGACGCTGTTCGTTGATGTGAGCGGTATACAACTGTCTCATCTCAACCAACCAGTAGTAGTATATGGATGGTGTTATGCCTTCAGCCTTGATTTCTTGATTACCAGATATGCTGTTAATCTTGTTTTCCATAGGGGACTGTGGTAGACTTTCACCTCCTCATTTAATAGTTATTTCACAGCAGATAACATTTATAGCTCCACCTCAAAGGTGAGGTGGCTGTTTTCTAGTCAACTGGATAAATGGATAATGCTTTTGCTTTTCACTCGATATATATGTATATGCATGCATACCTGATATAACTCCACAATTACTAGTTCTCTCTGCAAAAATTTCCACTTTATGCAAATATTTTGATCATGCTGTGTTATATTATCTCTCTGCCTGTCACATGAAGAAACATTTTTTACAATTAGCAATGATTTACTAATGTATGCATTCACTAGATATAAATTCTAATCTTTATTTTTTTGAAAAAAATTTCACCATCGTCTAATGTGCACAATGACAGTTTGTATTGTTTCATATATGCGTGCATATATGCATTTGTGTGTGTGTGTGTTTGTATGCCATTAGAGTTGGTGTTAGACCAAAAATAAGGTGACATTTATTAAAGTTATTTTAGTTGTGATCGACATGTTTTGAATAACAATTGATAAGCCAGCCAAGTGGAAATGCTTGTTGTTGTCATGGCATTATGAACCCCATAAGGCTTTAACTTTTCTTTCTTTTTGAACTCACTTTTATTGATAGTGGTAAATTAATTCGATGTGACTTAAAACTAAAATCTGTTTGTATTATTATTATTATTTCCTTTAATTCCTAAAGGAACATAGGGCTTAAGCCGCGCGTCTCCATTGCGTTCGGTTCCCTGCTAGAGTCTTCACCTGGCTCCAAATCTACCCACATGCTTTCATCCCCTCTTCACATGACCTCCCCCAAGTCACCCTTGGACGACCAATTCGCCGCTGTTTGGTGGTGGCGGTATTGCTCGATTTAGCGTCTGCCTGTATTAATTAGAGTTATCCGAAGCAAACAGCGAAAATAACACCGATTGTTAGTTAAGTCGAATATAGCTGTTGAAAAATCGATTGACAGAGTATACATTTTAAAAAACACAAAGAGTTATATCACTAGAATAATGCAGGTCGAGGCATCACCTTCTTCGTTAGACAATGTTAACCGAAATAGGAATAAGTTAGAAAAGATTTAATTTTCAAGTATTGGCTTTGTAGGGATTTTGTTTTAATTGGATGGAGGATTTCATCATGAGCTCAATGGTCTACGAGCTCCCTGGCCTTGTAACCAGAAGATCCTGGGTTCGAACCCTGGTGGTGAGTGCGTACTGATGCGGAGTCCCAAACTAGGACAAAATAGCTCTCCAGTACTCCGCGATTTTCCAGTGGTTCTCTAACTGATGTCAGCTCATGATGAAATCCTCCATCCAATCAATAAAAGAGTTAGGCATGGTTAAATCAGAAATGGACATCCATGCATGAAGTATTCTACAGTCGGTTTGAGCTATATGTGGGGAGGTGTAGACTACCTGGTTGGCATGTTCGAGTATGAACAAATCGCTAGAGACTGTTGGTGAATATATATCTAAAACTGATGGACTAAAATAACCACCTGATCGATAAAACTTTCAATGTAAAAAACCATATATTAGTGTAGAGCCGATGATGAAGAACTAAATGAAAATGAGTATATTTCTTGACTCAATTTGCTGTTTTTTCTAACTGCGTTAATTGGAGTTTGAAAATTGTTGGTGTCGAAATCGTTCACAGTGGAGCAGATACGCGCATTCCTTGCGGATCTTCCATATTCATTAAACCTTGAAGTTTTTTCCCATGTTATTATTCTTTCCTCCGTACACTTCTGCTCTTTTGTCTACCTATGTGTGCTAAATGGAGTGTGGGGACTTGAACTGCTACTCTTCTTTGCAAAGTTCTATCTTGAAAGTCAGCCAGTCAGGTTCATGCAGATGAAATCCAAACATTTGAACCTTGGTTAATATTACTTCGTTTATATTTCTGGGATAATATTATTATTTAAGGGTAGAGTTTGAAATCACCAAATTTTTTTTTGTATACACGTAGTCTAACCATTCATTGTTGTATGTTATTGAAGTAATGCTTTCTTTGGAGAACTATTAAAAAACTCAATGTACTACACAGCTCTTTTGCCTTAGTTTGAGTCTTTTTTATAAATCACTCCTCAGCTACCCTGTCAGGTTTTGAACCCAAGACCTTCGGGTTTTGAGGTAATTCTATTCACTAC